GGACTTGGATGCCTCAAGGAAACCACGTTGCTTGTCTTTTGAGGAATTAATATAAGACTCCTCAGTTTGGCCAGATGGCGAAGCAAAAACACCTACATACGTATTTAAAATCCAATAGCACACCATAAGAAAAAACCTGGAAGCGAAAAACATGTGGCCCATCAGTCAGTTTGGGGAACTTCAATTAGATTTTTCTTTCAAAGATCCTGGACCAAATTAGGTCACAAGCTACAAACGAATTAGAAAGACAATTGCTATTTAATTTTATCTGACCAGATTCCTCTTCCTTCCTTATTATTATTCTCTTTCTGGCCTCCTATCACCTTACCCTATTCCTTGTTTCCCCATAAATGTTCGGTGAGCACTAAGTTTGAAGTTTATTCTACTTCTTTACGTTCTTCAGTTCTACATTTAACAGGTCTTGAATATTGGAGAAACATCAAGATTGAATGTAGGCTATGTATGTAACAGAGTTACGTTTTCCCTATAAGTTTGCAGTGTGTTCATACACTGCCCTTTCTTTATGTTTCCTTAAAAAAATATTTTTGTTATTGTTTTCGGCCTTGCTAAGTTTGATCCTTACACAGAAATTTTATTTAGACATCTTTTGCATGCTATGTGTGTGGCCGCGATACACGAGATTTTGACCACTGTGCATCGACGTGGCGGTAAAGGACGACCGATCCTGGAGGCATAATGGATATTGGTTTACTCAACATTGAAAACCGATGATGCTGCTTTCTTTCAACCGTATACATGCTTGTGGGCAATTGCCAACACGATCTAGGTAGTACAAAATAAAAGCAGATCAAAAGTACTCACGATCTTTATCAAATTATTAGTTTTAGTTATTTTGTCATTAACATGAATCTTTACAAATAATATACCTGCTTCGTGAGCCAAACCACGATACTTACTCCCTCTCGACTGACAGATACTCGTGAATATTCCATTCACGACGGATTCCTTTTATGCAATCAACGAAGCTTCCACAATTTGGTCGGAAGCAGCGAAGGAGTGGGACGACAGATTGCCTCTTTCTCCGCAAATTTAAAAACCAAACAACAAATTCGACGGGAATCTGGCGGCTCCGTCGAGGGCGTTCGTCGTTGGCGTTGCTTGCTGCTTTGCCAACTGCGATAGACTTAATTTTATTGGGTGATGTAACGTGGCCCCCCTTGTCGGACGGAAGACGGATATGTATGTATGTGCTGCGAGTAATTTGGTTGGTGAGACTATCAGTTTGCATATTTTGTCACATTTTGGGAAAAATTACCACGCAAGGGTGTATTTTCGTAAGATATATACAGGGTGCTCTGAAAGTTTTGACTTTTTGAGGAACAACTACGCTTCAAACAGCAAAGCTAATAAGCCGTGCAATTTCAGCGAGAAAGTGAAAAAAGGATTGTAAACAATACTACTAATCATTCAAGACGAAGTTTATGAATACTGTTCCAAGTTGTCCCCGTTCAACACACGTTTGTACTCGGCTATGGCAACATTCAGAGTTGTCTAGGTCTTCCACTGTTTGTAAACATCGACACCTGGGTTAAGCGGTGCAGCAGCGGTGGCCGCAGTAGTAGACTCTTCGGTCTCCTGACCAAGAGCCGTGCGCTGTTCGGGTTCGAGTCCCGTCCCAGGAGAAATTTTTCTCTTGGCTATGGATGTTGTGATTGTCCGTAGGCGGTAGACGGTCTCTGACTGTCGAACGCGGAGGTACCACCCGGCGGATCTCATAGGCGGAGCCAGAATGTGTGCATGTTGCATGCACCCGTGTTCCCTCGCCAGAGTCCGTGTGGCGTTCCCCCTTTCCCATGTAACCCCCTATAGCCCCACGATACCCAATGGGTGCTTAGGCCTTAGGGCTTCGTGGTAGTTGGAGTATAAAAAAAATTACTGAGGCGTGTTATGTCTTTTCGCTGTTGAGTTAGATTTACAAAGGTAAAGACAGACTTACTTATTTTTTAGAGCTTAGTACCTCTTCTTTGATGGGTTATTAGGAAAATTTGCTCATTTTTACAAAATTGTAGGTCGTGTGTAAGAAAGTCTCCAATCGAAGATGCGCGTTTAAAATCTGATAGCTTAGAATCTGTTTTCTTTGTTGAAAACTGCACACTTTATGGATCATCACGTCTGCGTCGTAACTATTATGTTTTATATCATATTTTATCTTAGTCTATTAGTTGCCACTATTTTCAGAAGGGCGTGGAAGAGTAACATAATCCGATTTTTTTATTATTCTACTTACTCATAGTTTGCAAGAAATCAGTGGGACGTAGGTGCCATTTCAAAATACACGTCATAAAGAGCTTTTCGATTCTTTACGATATCATAGATGACGTAAATCCATATAAAAGACGCTGCTTGATTAATTCTGCCAAAAGCCCAAAAATTTGTACTTTTCTCAAATCCCTAATCATTTTAGGGTACAATCCAAAAATATTTTATAGTGTCAAAAATTTGTAGAGCCACCAGATGATGGAGATTTTCTAACATTGTTGCTGAAAAGCTGGACTTTTTCAGACAACTTCTTATTTTGTATAACGAATAGAAAATTAATGGTCTTAAATAATACCCATTTTTGTTTCAGGTAAGGCAGACGTTTCAGACTTGATGCTGGTAAGCTCGAACATGTTTTGGTATCATCTAATGTCTGGTTGCTCATCACCAAGTTCATGTTGCGCTCAATCCGTAACTTGTACGGTATAGATGATGGTTGTCTACTTTAATGGTCTGCGACGTCAATGTCATCCTTTTATGGAGATTTCTAAAAACTACATTCACCGGTTGCTTCCATGGCTGGTATCTTGTAAACCCTATGCTGAACATTCCTCTAGGTACCTGTCATGGTATGTGGGCTTATCGGGATATTGTGCAAATTACGGTTAAGTTAGACGTCATTTTAAGATCTCAATTTTCCATCATGTAATATGCATATTCCTCAAGGACTTACTTATATTTCAACGTTGGTATGATTCGTTCACATTTCAATATTCGTGAGATTCCTATTCCTCCATAAACAATTGGTAACAGCGGTCAAGTATCCAAAGCTTGTTTTCATACCTACAAGCGTAGCGCCCCGAGGATTGCACAGGCTTGGTCTATAAGAAACTGTATTCTAATAATAGATAGTTCCAAAAGCCGTTGTTTTATATATAATATATTAAACTGATCACCTACCCTTGTAGGCATTTAGGTAAAAAATAACGTCACACATAGTTACAGCTGAAGATTGGAAATCATCGGTCTCACACCCAAATGGCATAAATTAGTCTCTGTTTGCAGCATAGGCTACTTCCGGTCTCCATGGTACATATAATGGGACATAACATGCCAAAAATATCATATAAGCGGATGTGACAGAGGAGGCGACGCGACCATGGAGATATAATCCGGCAATGTAATAAAATTAAAAGCAAAATAAAATGTCGGATGTGGAAGCTCCGGAAAAAAACTTGGCAACGGATGGAGTTATGGCTGGTTGAAAAGTTGGAGCTTTTGCAGTTTTATGTTTTAACTCACGCTGTGCGAGTCTCGTTGTCCTAAGTGGCTACATGCATGTCTATCCAGGACGATCCCTAACTAGATTAAATGTGTTTGTGTTTTGACGTTTTGAGGAAGATGAATGCTTACGCCAGACATTTTTAAATGTGATATACTTTTGTGTTTGCATCTAGCTTAGTTATAGCGTACAGGGTGACAAGAAATGAATTAATCTCCTTTCAACTTTTTTGTATGAACGGATGGCAAAAACTTATATAGAGAAGTTATACGGCCAAAAATAGGATTTTAAAAGCAAAGTATTTTTTTATATGTAGGGTTCCTCAGGAAAACGTGAAGTTTTATTTCTTAAAGGCAATATATTGTATACTTTTAACGAAAATATGCGTAATATTGTTGTCTAGAGACGAAATTCAGCATAACTTACTGTTTATCTAAATGCATCTTCTGCAGAAAACCACGAGTATATCAGCCTAGATACTTTGTAAGCACTACACAGAGTACAAGTAGATGTTAACATGTTACGTGATTGTTTAAGTTTAATATACGGTTAGACTCCGTCATGTTTAATGTAGTAGCATATACATATATGGTTTGTCGTGTTCTTATCATATGCGGCTAGATTCATAACATAAACTCTGATACATATGCATGAATGAAACACAAAGTCAAAGTGTTGACCAAACTAACGGAAATAAGCTTAAACTTATATACTTAACTGTACATATATTTGAAATTCGTAAAATGCAACTACCATTTTTATTGAAAATATGCAGGCTGTTCTGTTTATGAAATAAAACTACTCAGAACCTCATTTCCAAGAACAAAAAGACACTGAATCAAAAACTTTATACTAGATCCTATAACTGTCATACAATTTTTCTCTAAGTGGTCATAGGAAGGAGCTGGAGGAAGACAATTTATAGCGGAACAATATGTCCAGAAATGAGCGATCCAACTTGCACAAGTCTCTTACATTTCTGGTGTACAAAACTACCAAATTGCAACGTTGCATTAGTTCCTAACGCGGTGCCGAAAGCTTTTAGGTAACGTTGAGATAATATGGTCTATAGAAGAGAAGCGTCACTCCGTCGTTAAGAGGTATGTGAAATGATATTATTGTATCCAAGATCCTACCTGCAGTTCATCTGTGGCGTCCGTGATATAGCAAGTAGTGAGGAGGGAGGTAATCATCCAGGTAACGAAGGTCAGCTGCAGTTAGTGGACCGCAGAGCACGGTAAGAAGTGTTTCACGTGTTGCAAAGCAAGCAGCTTGGAAGTGTGGTGCTGATATTTTGATGCTCCGCTAATGATGTAAAGGCGAATACTGTTATTCCAACATATTTGGAATTTGAGATATCCTTAAATTCTAACACCACGTAAGATATTTACTTGAAAATAATCACCGCGATCGCCGAAACGTCGTCAGTCCACAGCATGTATGCATAAGAGGTTTCGTTGCGGCCAGATAAACATGAAGCAATAAAAGATATATCGATACATTTTTGCCAAAGTAACGTAAGTGACATTTTTGGTGAAAATCATGTTTTTCCATTAACGTAAGGCTTTTATTATTGAGAAGGTACTGCCAAGGTGTAGGAAGGCTAGATTTTACTTTAAACCTTTGTTTTTAACTTTTTTAAATCATATCCGTAAAAGAAACATAACTTTAATACTATTTCCATCATAGTAATGCAAGCTAAGGTTTTTTACCGCCATAATAACGTAAGTCCCTGTCGGTGTCTGCGACTTACGTCAGATTTTCGCAGTCAGTGTTTGGCTTACGACAGTGTTAGGTTCGTTCTATCATCGACTAATTATTGATTTTAGGTAAGTAAACGACATTTTTTATAGTTAGAATTCAAAAATATTACAATCTTAACTCATATTATGTAGGTACATACCTATAAAATTCCGTTTCATATTTAATTTCGTTCATTTATTACAAATGATTGTGTGATAAACTCAAGGTCTGTGAGAAATTTACAGGAATGAATCGGTTGAAGTTAGAGAAAGACTGTTGTATTTGTTTCTATTCTAATTTCTATAGAAGCTATGAAACATTGTAAACATAAATGCTCGGTACTTTCAGATCATGTCTATGGTCAGTTCACGAACAACAAGGATTTTGGCGGCTCTTAGCCAAAATGATGAATCGAATAATGTTTATTTTGAGGAAGAATCGATATCCATTATTTCAAGTGACAATATTTTTGATCTAGATAATTCCGAAAATATTTTAAAAACTACGTTAGTAAATGAAGACTTAATCGAAATAGATCAATCAATTTTATTGTCTTCTAACAATTCGAGTCCTTATGAAAATGATGGTAACCATACTATGCAAGAAGAATTAAATGTACCAATAAGTACTGATAGCTCAAATGGGACAGTGGGTGTTCAGTTTGCCAGGTTTCACGATGAATTCTTTAAATGAAAATGTAAGTCTTCTCTTCCAGATGAGTTAGCAGAAACTGATGCAGAGGCTGACAATGAAGATGAAAGCTCCAAAACTTAAAAAAATATATATTTTTTACTAGTAAGAATTTCATATTGTCTTTTGTAACGTTATTTTGTGTTTTTTTAATAATAAACGATAGTTTTTAATTCTTTCCAAAATACTTTAAGTGCTACAATTTGCCGCCAAACTGACGTATCTGTGTACTTACGTTACATTTTTGATCAAGACTTCGAGATTTCTGAACCCGTAAAGTAAAGTAAGTATCAATTAACCACTAAAACTATAGAAAAACTTCAAAAATCATTTTTCTTAATTAAATATAGACCTCAGAGAAACACCCTGGTAAATTTTGCACAATTTAAAATAGTTTAACCAGGTTAAATTAAAAATGCGTTCTCCGAAATCGTTTTTGGTGACTTACGTTACTTTGGCAAATACGTATCGATACGTATGCCACTCGATAGCGAATCTAAACATCCGCCGTTCTTTTTCCTCTCCTGAAAAGTTGTTGGTTTTGAGTTAGGCGGTGTTAGAACTCAAGCGACAATATGTTCTAATTACAGCTGTGGTCTTGATGTAATTATCAGAGAATATCAATTCAATATTTTTGTATGATTCATGGCAGTATAATACGACAAAAATTTGATATTTATTAGTACTTGCTTAAAAATAGTGTTACATCTAAAAATCACTTTCATAAGCACGTTTCAAATTTCCGTCATCCGGCTAAACTAGGCAGTCGTAGATGAATAAAATTAACAAGTGGTGAGCGACGATCCCAAGGTGGGTGCACCCAGGAAAACGCCGATGCTGTGCGCAAACTCATCATTGAAGACAGACATGTGACATATCGCGAGATTGAGGCGTCCTTGAAGCTCTCAAAGACATCAATTCAAAACATTTTACGAGAAGAATAAGGAGTAAGAAAATTAGTTTCTCGTTGGATACCCCACCTGTTGACTGAAGAGCAGAAAGCAGCCAGGGTTAATTGGTGTCAAAAAACGCTTGACCGTTTCAATTCCGGAAACTCAAAAAATGTGTACAGCATTGTTAGTGGTGATGAATCGTGGATTTACTGTTATGAACCAGAAAATAAACGACAGTCGGCTGTTTGGGTGTTTCAAGGTGAAGAGCCAACAAAGCCAACAAAAGTCATCCGTTCTCAAAGTGTTCCGAAAAAGATCGTCGCGACATTTGTGTCAAAAGCGGGCCATATTGCAACAATTCCTCTGAACGAGCAAATAACGGTCACTGCGGATTGGTATACCACCATTTGTTTGCCAGAGTCATCACAGAGCTTCGAAAAATCAACCCCAAAAGAAGAATCATCCTCCACCAAGACAATGCAAGCTCGCACACATCCCAAAAAGCAAGGTAGTATTTAACGGAAGAAAACGTGGAATTATTGGACCATCCTCCATATAGTTCCGATATAAGTCCTAACGATTTCTTTACTTTCCCGAAAATTAAAAACACACTGCGTGGTCAAAGGTTCCAGTCACCAGAAGAAGCAGTTGACTCATTCAAAAATACCGTTTTGGATCTGTCAGCAAACGAGTGGAATAAGTGCTTCGAAAATTGATTCGAGCGCTTGCAGATGTGTATTAATCTTCATGGAGAATACTTAAAAAAACAATAAAGCCATTTAAAACTACCTACCGTGTTGTTTTATTTCCATATGCAAAACTTAAAAGACATCCTTCGTATTTGTCGGTCACTCGCAGGGTTGTCAAGTCTAACGAGGATTACGTAACGAGATGGAATATGCCTGGGAGTTTTGAAAAGAAGATCAGCCAATCACATTTGCTGGTTTTAATTTAAAGTAAAAACACAAACATCGTATCTATAATAATTGGAGCTGGACTGATATCAATTCTCGGAGAATATTTAATAGAAGACTGAAAAGTGTTGTTCTTCAAATTGCAAATGGAGTATCAGAAAATTCTTACATACAGCGGACCTTCGTCATAGTTTACTATCTTGTTTATGACCATCTTTGACAAATCTGTTGTATCATCAAATTGATGGAAAATATAAGAAAGCTCTGATAGACCTACGCATAGCGGATTATTTACTAAGTAACATGATTATAACCAGCTTTGGTAGATTGCTAGATCCGGAGTGGAAAAGATCCTATCCTATTTTTGAAAATATATTTGGCATCATCTACCCATTGCAATCAATGCATAACTATTGTTACATATGATTCATAGCATAATCCTCTGCCTTCTTAACACAAATTTAATACAAGGGTCGCTCAGCCATGGGGATGCAGTCGTCGCGACACCAACTGACGAGTTGGGCATGTCAGGTAACAACAGATGAAATGAAATTTCCTACAAACATCTCAAATTTAGAGATATTGTACACATTCTGATTTAGTAATATTTGAGTACATGAAGATTCCTACTTGCATTGTATGAATGGGTAGGGATATAGCGCAGAATAATCACTAGTTACAGACGGCACTTAAAAATACTTCAGCTGTAAAAGAGACGAACCTTAATTCCTTAATTTAATTACCAATGTAGCCAAAGGTGCTGCTGGAAATCACCAAAAAAATCGCCAGGGAACAAGTCGAGAAGAAAATCTCAAAGCATCCAAAAATCGTCTGGCAGCCCTGTGTTATGCGACATTCCTGAAGTTCGCTTCAGATTCGAATGTCATGAAATTACAGTCAGCCAGTTATACTTATTATAAAGTAAGGCTTTTAAACAAATTATTGTAAGCATACATTAGTTATTTGATCCCAGCCTTCATAAACTTTGGTCTTCGATGAACGTCTAGAGCTCAGAATTGAATGAGTTAGCTAGCTGATAGGTGATACCAGGTCTACTGACTTTAGTCCTATTCTATCTAGCGATTTCAATGACAAATCCATCAAATTTTTTCTTTAATTCTGAAATAGTATATTTCTTATATTCTTCAATGAAACACAACAATAGAACGATTCATCCCTACCCGCTCTTCAATTAATTAAAAAACCACCTCATCTCCGGGTCAAACGTCATCAGCCCTACCCTGGCATGAACATGAAAGATAAACTTGTCAAACTTACATTACAAAACAAAAAACTATACACAAACGACGAGTACATTCGACATAGCAATGTTGCCAGCTATTGTCATTTCCCTTTCATGTGCTTCGACAATAATTTTAAGCATTTGTTACGGGGCAAACCGAAACCAAGGCCCAAACTGGTTGGTTGGTGTTGCATTGCGCAGTCATTTTTCACACTACAACAATTATATGTCGTGGATGTGGACCAATCCTGCACCGCTGCAGTTAGAAGTCTATTTTTCCATTTCTTAGAAGCCTTTATGTATGAAAATCACAGTGCCTTATCTGCAAGATTTTTGTTTTAAAATACAAAACAAAATCTCCTATATACGTGCAAAATACTAATAAGTGCATATTCCACAGTGTCCTCAGGTTTATCCATAACCAAGTTACCTATTGAAGAAATATAGAAGCAGAGCAGATATGTGGGTCGAGATAATGTAAAAAAGAATCATTTCATATTTTTGAACCGTTGCATTACTAATATCATTTCCCTGTTGATAGTAAAACAAAAATATGTATATGTATATGGGAACTCCAGGAAAATCTATCAGTTTGTTAAGAGAGTATTCACTTTAAATCGTAGTTTTTGCTGGAAACTGGTTTGCTGGCAGCTTTACCATAAATATTTCGATGGCTCTCAATCTCTCTAAAGATGGTGCGACTGGTTACAGATAGTTAATCAAAACCAGAAAGTTTTCAACTATAATTATTGTGGAGGTTGAAAATCTTGAATAGTTTCGGACCAGTACCAATCCAAGGTGTCAAATGTCATTCAGGAACTGGAAAGGGTTTGGAAGTTCAAGTTTATAAATGTCTTATAGAAAAAACTATAAACACTTCAAATTAGTATAATCGCATATGGATTGCAAAAATTGAAATGAACATGGATAGACCTTCAGCAAAAACTGAAAAATTGGACCTTACTCATGCATCAATCATTTTTTTTCACAAAAATTTTGGCTGAATTTTCTATAATTTTATAATACCTAATAAAGTGCTGACATTTCAATCACAAGCTACTATCTAATACGTGCGGGGTCTCGTACTTTCTGCCGCATATGCTGTATCGTCCGCATACACATACAGTTGCGTTTGTGGAGTATTCGGGATGTCTGAACTGTAGATTGCATACAGCAGGGGTGATAGAACCGCTCCCTGCGGTACTCCTGCCGCCACAGTCTTCAGTGTCGAAGATGTTTTACCAATCCTAATTCGGAATATTTACGATGCTTCAAATATGACTTCACCAGTTGGCTCATCCCCGTTGAGTATCCGAGGTCTACCATCTTGAAGATCAGTCCGTCATGCCAAACAGTGTCGAACGCCTTAGCGGCATCCATGAACACAGCTCCCACGGCCCGCCGAGTCTGAAACGATTTTGTCGCCATCTCGACCAGCCTTAGGACCTGCTGAATGTTCGCTTCGGAATCCGAACTGTTCGTCTGGAACTACTCGGGAGTTCCTCAGTTTCGTTCCTCAGTCTTCGTTCGATTACCCTTCCCGCAATCTTGCTCAGTGTCGTCAACAGGCTTATAGGTCTGTAGTTTTGGGGGAACCTTGGGGCTTTCCCAGGTTTTGGTATGTTGATCACTTCGGCTACTTCCCAGTGTTCTGGAAAGTATCGGTGTCTCAGTATGGCGTTGACAATATTGGTGATTGCTATTATCGCTTTCCTCGGGAGTCTCTTCAAGACTCTGTTCCCAATTTCGTCTACACCCGGTCCTTTCTTCACCTTGACTCTTCCGATGATTTCCCTTACCTCGCCTGGAGAGGTCATGTCCTCAATGGCTCTTCCTCCTCTTACAGCTCTCCTCGATCTTCTTATCACCTCGTCGGTGAAGTCTTCGTCTTCATCGGGGTGAGTATTGAGAGTACACTGTCTCTGAAGGTTGTCAGCAAAAGCTTCTCTCCTTCTCTTCGGTTGTGTACACCACCTCTGTTCGCTGTGTATTGGGGGGATGGGCTGTCTTCTGTTTCTGAGGATTTTAGCCAAGTTCCACATTCCTGGATCAGCTAGAGATAGTTCTTCGAGTTTCTTATCCCAGGTGCTCTGATGATGCACTCTGTTTGC